TTGATAGTAATATTGATGCATTATTTGCAATTGTACTCCTGTTTATAGGTATCGAAATAAGATGTAACTTTGTTAAAATGCCACATGCACATGTAGTATTTTTCACAGAGTAATTTCTATAATTAAAAGGACCTGTTTCCCCCTACTCGAAGTGGACTCTTCCGACCGTGAGAAAGTTAGTGAATGGACTTACGTGCATGGAGGCCTTTTTACTTTGCCAAATTCCCATGTTTGTGGTAGGATTTTGTACTTTTTGAGAGTAATACAGTTTGTGATGTCAGAATACATTGTTATGTCGTGTTATTTTTACATATTCCCTGGAAAAAAGATCGTTTTGAAGGTGTGTGTGCATGTGCCGCCCAGGCCGAGTTTATACGTTCGGCCGATAATTTACTTTTAACGCCCGTTACTAGCACATGTTTCCGACACAATATGTGTTTCTAAATGAAATATAATATATATCTAAAAGGGAGATGATATGTTGTTACAGGCACGATGACTTAGTAAATCTGCCGTACGTTTGACTGTCGTCAGTGAAGTTTTGTCCCATGAATGGTGACATGTGCAAAGGGGGTGGGGGGCGAGTTCTATATCAAAATAAAATTTTTTGACGAACTTTTGAAGACGCAACCTAGCTTTCCGAACAAATTGCACAAAGAAAAATGTTTCTGCCTTGAAGCAATGTATTTTTAACGCTGTTAACTATGCCCAAATTTTGAAAAAATACAACGTACGGGGTGGATTTTGGGGCCCCAATTCTGGACCCGAGAGTATGGATTCTTGTTCTGTTTTTATTTTTATTTCATTTTGGCAAAAAAACGAAGCGGCGAATCCGTTAACCAAGGAAATAAATTGGTGTGGCCTCACAGTGTGAATATACTTTAAGAATTCAAGCTGTAGTATAAATGATTGTTTTTTCTTTTAAAGAACAGGAGCGAGTGTGCAATCAATGCCACTGGGTACCTTAAATATGTTACGACTAAGTTTTGGGTAATGATCTATAAGATTCTTTTGGAATTCAACAAATAATTGTTTTGACCAAATAAATGTGCTTAGGCAGCTTGTGATTGTACTTAAAAGACTTCCTAATGCCTTGATTGTGCTTATTTTCAGACTGATAATGGCAACTTCATCCTGTCCTTTATGCACCGGTTTGCTGAGTCTCGAGGAGGAACCACGTACTTCACATTCTGCTACCCCTGGTCTTATACCGAGTGCCAAGAAAGACTGGCTCAACTTGATGAAAAGTTTGCAGCCTGTAAAGACCTGGATCCCAAAAGGTTGAAACAATAATTATGCCGTAAATCATGGAGCTTTTGCACTGTGTTTGATTTTTGTAATGTTCGTGGTGCCCTCTCCACAGCAAATCCATGTCTTCCTTGTATAGTACTATACTTCAGAATTGTTTCAACTGCAAATTCAAAACACCATGGAAACCACCCTGTCACCCCTCCCACGTAATAAAATGACTTCAAGATTTTTACACTTTTTATTCAGATCAAGTCAGATGTTTATTCCAAGTTAATAATCATATATCAAAAGAAACATGCCAGATGAAGGTCAATTGAATGGATAACTGGAGTTATAACATTGCAATAATGTGAATTTTTTTCCTTTCATTTGTTGAATTGTAAAAGTTTCCCATGTAAACATATCTCTGTAATGTGAACTGTTCTTGCCCCAGTACCCCAGACTGTATCTACTACAAACGTGAGCTGGTCACCCTCTCCATAGACAAGAACCGTATTGATCTCATCACCATCACGTCCTGCCACGGCATGCAGGAGGAGCGGGAGCCACGGCTGGACAAACTCTTCCCAGAGAAGGAGGAGCCACGCCCACACAAGTTCAAGGGCAAGAGGGTAAACACCACACCTTGTCTTACTGGTCCTGAGCAAGAAAAATTTTCAAGTCAGCCGTAGACTTGACTTTGAAAAAGTAACTGAATTATGGTACAGGTTATAGGAGCATTATTGAACGATTTATCAAAACTGCTGTATTACTTGATTTTTTCTGTTCCAAAATATGTATGAGGGGATTAGAAAAAAATTATGACAAAAATTGTTGAAACTGTATTTTTTCTTCAAAAAGTGTGCCTATCTCAGAATTTGCAGAATTTTTTTTTAGCTAAGGGGCAGCTAAAGCAAACTTATTGAGTTTTGAAGTACCTGCTATACTGTATCTGAATTAATGTGACTTGTTTCCTGATTAATTCTGAAGAGACTGTTTGTTGCTGACCCATACAGGTGTTTTTCCTGAGTAGCCGGGTGCACCCAGGGGAAACTCCCTCCAGCTTTGTCTTTAACGGCTTCCTGGACTTCATCCTCCGTGAAGAAGACCCCAGGGCACGACAGCTGCGCAAGCAGTACGTCTTCAAACTCATCCCCCTGCTGAACCCAGACGGAGTGGCTCGAGGACACTACAGGTATGGTGAACAAGTAGCAAATCTCACCTTCACCATACACTTCCATTCTTATCAGTCAAAAAACATGTAAATGAAAAAATAATCAGATTCTATATCTAGCTCAAAGTTCTCATATTTTGGCACCAACAGTTGAAGAAATTCTTGTCTTCCTGTATTGTTACCATTTACCAAATGTAATCATTCGATTAGAAGTTGCAAATTGAATTGTAATCCTAATATGTTGACTTTGTGGCTCCTATTGAAGCATTTGGACATTTTACAGAGTGAGTGAGAACACATGAAAATAAGGGAGATGTTGGATATTAGAAAGAAAAAAACTTGTCCAATTGTTTGACATTGTATGCTTTAATGTCATTCAGGACGGACCAACGTGGTGTGAATCTGAACCGGATGTATCTCAGTCCTGACCCTGTCCTACACCCCTCTGTGTTTGCTGCTAAGTCTGTCCTTATCTACCACCATGTCCACAACCGTGTCGTCCAGCCCACCAGTCCTACAACAAACTCTCCCAAACACGAAAACTCCAGACTCCAGCCAAGTCCAGCCCAAGCCAAAGACAACAACAGTGCCAACGATAGAAGGACTCAAAATGGGACCAATGAAACCAGCACCAGTGACAAGGAGAACCTGGATGAAAACAGACCATCTGTAGGGGAGTCTGAGGAGATCAGTCCAGAGACATCCGGTGAAAATCTGTGTGATCAGACTCGCAAGTTAAGTATAGCTGACCAGGAGTCTCAATGTAGTAGTCCTGAACACGACATGAAAGACAGTGGGTCCGTACAGCAAAGTTCCTCAGACAGCAGCATGTGGACGAGCGACAGTTCCACCAGTATTAGCGTGACAGAAAAGGACTTGGAGTATTACCGCTCCATCCCGCACAACGAGAGTGGAGTCGCCTTTTATGTGGACCTCCACGGTCATGCATCAAAGCGAGGTTGCTTCATGTACGGGAACCACTTTGACAATGACTTGGAGGCAGTGGAATGTATGCTGTTCCCCAAGTTGATCTCGCTCAATAGCGCACATTTTGACTTTCCAGGTCAGTAGTTCAAACCTTACAGAAGTCATCAGATTGTGTAATGTAGCCTGAATACATCATGTTTATATTGGTACGTAGTTCTGGGAATGGGAATGGTTTTCTCAGGTTAGAAGTGTTTGGCCACAAGCTATCAGGGAGGAGGGTCCATCAGCCCCTCATCGTGAGAGGTTAAAGCAAGTCAAACTTTGTTGTACTTGATTTAGGGTAAAGTACATGCACCATGGAAGTATTCAAAATCATAAAATATTTAAACTATCATTTGTACTTGCAGGGTGCAATTTTACAGAGAAGAACATGTACACCAAAGACAAGAGAGATGGCATGTCAAAGGAGGGAAGTGGCAGGGTGGCCATGTATAAAACAATAGGCATCATACACAGGTATGTACTGAGCGTTCAGACAATTCAATATTTATCCATTGCTTGCCTTAGTCATTTTCTTTTTCCCTTATTACATCAGATTCTGTATTCACAGAGTATGGGAGCTGGAATGACATTAGGTTACTGTATTAATAGCTTGGACATACAGTGTTTTGACACAGTGTGCCTGAGCTTGGAGTATTGAATGTGTAAGAACAGTTTGTTCAACCATTGTATCTTGTTTCAACATTACACAGCTACACACTTGAGTGTAACTATAACATGGGCCGAATGACCAACTGTATTGCCGCGGCAACCATGGACAATGGGCGTGCCACACCTCCCCCCATGGCTGGCTTCCCTCCTAAATACACGCCTGAACACTTTGAAGAGGTGAGAACTCCAAATCATCAGAACCGTTTTACAGCTGTCCTTGGTGCTGAAATGGAAGTTGCCATATTGATGTAGTGGTGCTTTGTGCTATGGCTTTGTGTGATGTTTTGTGGCTCAGTCTTTTGTATACAGCGATGCCTTTTTGTTTTACTTTCAACACACTATTGACATAAAAAAACTTATATATGTAGTATTAGAATTATGACTGATGTGTTAACTGTACTTAATTTTGCCCAGGTGGGGAGAGCCATGGCCATCGCAGCCCTGGATATCACTGACACAAACCCCTGGTCTCGTATCGCTCACTCTGAGCACACCTGTGTCTACAACCTCCGCCAATGGATGCACCGCTATGTTCGCAGCCTACGTGGTGCTCCCCCCATGCCACGTAGGATGGCCCGCGTCACCTCGAAGACATCGAGGTTAGCCTCCAAACTCCGTAACCTCTGGTCTCTTCTCCGGAGCCTCTCCTTTTTTCCTGCTTTCTCTCATAGCTTTCTACGACAAAGGCAGTAGGGCTGCGTCATGACTCATTATGGGAAGGTAGTGTCACCACTAACTCTTACTGTCTGTACCACCCATGCATAGAACTAACATGCTTGGTGTGCTCAACAGCATGGTCTGAAGCTGAAGTCATTGGAATGAAAGCCATGTACAACATTATGTAATGTTTGTGCATGTTCTAGCTGTATGAACTCTTGTGTCACTCTCCGTGTTGCACAGAATGCCTTGCATGGTGATCTTTTCATAATATTCTCTGTGTTATGCTAATTCAAAAGTAAACAATATGTAACTTACTAGGGCTCAAAACAATTTTTTTCCAACCTGCCTTAAAAGATCATTAAGTTTTTACAGGCACACCACACTTCATCCATTGTTCCTTTCATGATCATAAGAATGAATAACTCAAATACATGTATGTTAAAAAGAAAGACTATCCTGCCATTTTCCCTGCTTCAGAATGTCTCTCCTACAGTCTGACAACTTGAAGACTGTTTTCTATGTCTTCAGATGAAGAAATTGTGTAGTAAGTTTGTTCCATCCTTGTTTGTTTGTTTGTTTGTTAGCATGATTGCCTCAGCGACAGGACATCCCCCCTCCACCACCCTGACCCGTCAGCTCTCCAACAGTGACAGCAGCAGTGTTGGAGGCAGCCCCATCCGCGTCCCTAACCAGCCCGCAGCACGCAACCAGGCCCCCAACACCAGTAGGAACCCTCCCCAACCCCCCATCAGGAGGAACCCCCCAGGGCCCAGCAAACCCCTCGCTCCTGTTAAAGGTGGGTGCATAGCATTGAACATGGTATTAAGCATTCATGCTATTATTTGTGACATCGTCTATTACATGGTACTTTGCAAGTACTTACTTCAATATGTAATGTCAGATCAAATGTGAAAAAAAATGTTGATTTAAATCAAGTGTGAAAAATGTTATTTTGACCTTCAAAAGTAACAACAAACCCTTCTCATTACAAATTGTGATCCCAAATGAATAATGTCTCTCCTTTGATACCCTTACTACCCTTCATTTGCTTCATCACCATTACCATTACCCTAAAAATGAAATCCTGGCTAGAACTCTGCATCTAGCAATATGGCTATGGTTTCTTGTGTAATTTGTGTTTCTTGTGTTCAGTTTCTTGTGTAATATACTATTACATCCATCCTTATAAGTTATGTTTTTTTCTTTATTTGAGATGAATGAATCAACTTCCTCTTCTTTTTTTCTTCTTTCTCATATTTGATTTCCCCTGTTTCCTGTAGTCCCTCCCCACCCACCTGTTAAGTGCCTTCCCATGAAGCCTGTTACCATGTACCACCAGCCGTCCAGCATGTGTATCAATATACTGACAGACCCATTACCAGTGGTCAGGTTACGATGTACAGTATATCTTATCATTATGTTCCATCTTGCATGCAGTTTAGCGGTGGTGGCTTGCATCTTTCCCAAATTACTTGGATTTTTGTATAGAGTAAAACCATTTCCTTCAATTAAATGGGGTCAATCCAGATTCCTACTTTGGATTACTCATTTAGGACAACTGTATTGAAACAAAAATTTAAGCACGCTTTGTAGATGTTTTCTTTCCTTAATAATATAGTATTATAAATTATTACATGAACTATAAGTACATCTGCATTGCAATGCTATGGGTACTGTGAATTCTCAAGTTTGCTTCAACATGACTTTTATGTTTTCTTCAGACACCAAGACAGAACGCCTCCGACGTCAGCGCACAATGGCCATAACGGGAAACGTCCCGAGCTCTACCTCCGCAACAACAGCCAGCATCAGCCCAACCTCCCGCTCACCCACCAACCCAGTCACCCTCACCCTTACAACCTCTCCCACCGTGCCCACAACAAACATACTCTCCACTCCCGCCAGCTCTGCAACACATCACGTGCACATAGGGAAGGCCTCCAATGCCGTCACACATTACATTCACATCGGAAGCAGCAGTGCAGGTCATAACACAAGTGCACCACAGCAGACCACGGTTGCTCTGGACCCCTCTACGATGTCTAACGTGTACAAAATATCAGCAGGCGGGTTCTCCCCACGAGGGGCAACTCCACAGTACGTGACAACAATGACGTCTTCAATCTTACCCATCAGTGTTGTGAACCCATCAGTAATGTACGGACCCATGCAGCTGACAAGTATATCAAAAGGTACTATGCAAGGCTCTGTTCGAAGACGGGAAAGCTGCAACAGTGCAGAGAGGAGGAAGCTGGGCCAGCTGAAGTATTCCCACTCCCTAGACAGCTCCCTGCTGGATGAGCAGCTTCTCCATCTCAGCCAGGTCAGGCAGGACTTTACTCTGTTGGTCAATGTGTACATATCAATTTCCAACAATGATAGACGTGGTATTATGGTGTTGTCTCAGTTGCAGTTTTCTCGCTTGTTAAGAATTGTCAGTATCTGTTATATTCTACTTTTCTCTGTCTGTGCATGATTGTGTTTCATTTAAAATAAATGTATCTCTCATGCTGTCCAAGTTTTTTTGAAATTCATTCCCTAAACAAATCTGATTCAGTGATTTTCAGTGTTATTATGTGTGTGAAAAGCTCTTTGATTTACCCTATATAGAAGTAAATATGTTCGTGTGTGTCTCCCACACGCACCCCCCACCCCACAGTCTTCCCCTCAACCCACACAAACCAGTCCCACCTCCATTCTGGGGACTGGTACGACGGCCATGGTGGCACCTCCCCTCACGTCGGCCAACCGTACCATCAGCCGTGCAGACTCCAGAATCACCCTCAACATGCCCACTGCGGTACCAATCACTCTCCAATCACTCCTAACATGACAGGCTATTTCTGATTGGTGGATATGTTTTGTCTTGCAATTACGTTGAATAACTCAGTAGTCTGAACTGAAGGAAGACGTTGTTTCCCTACCATTTTTAACTTGTGGAAAAACACACAGTTAGAAAAAATTAAGTTTCTTGTGAATAGAATTGAGGTTTGTTGTGAATATTTGAATGTAGCAAAATATTATGAAATCTCTTATCTGTCTAAAATATCATATGATTAATCTATTTGACCAAGACAATCATCCACCAATCAGGAACAAGTTTGCACAGAGATAAATGAAAATGGATGTCAACAAAATGATTCAGCTTACTGAAATTGGTTACCTTTTTTGTCTGATCCATGACTGTGGAACTGCTCAACAGAAATTAATTTAGAGATCTCAGTTTTCTTTAGCTTTACTTTGCCAAACACAACCTACTCTGTTTGCCTAGTATGTTTGTATTTTCTGAATGTCTTATAGACAGTTTTGTAAGTACTGTAAAAGTCTTGTTGACATCTGTGGTCCACTTTTTGTTTTGCTACACATGCATGTGGATTTCTTGCTTTGTCTGTGACTCTGCCATGACCTCATCTCTGTAAGTTAATTCAAAGTCTATTGCACATTTTGTCTCAATTAAATACATTATACTCATACCCGTTGTACATGTACGCTATATATCTTTGCACATACTTGTACACCTTAAGTCTCTATAGCCTATCTGGTGATAGTATTCCTCGTTTAGTTCCAATCATTTCTATCAAACCATCCATCAATTCAAAGCTTTTCTTGATGCAATTTTGCCATTTTACTGTCCTTGTCATATTTGGTTCATGGTATAATAAGCCATTTTTAATCTTAATAGACTTTTTTCTTTTCCCTTTGACAGACCCCTTCCTTCCAGCCTGTTGAGAACAGGTCACCAACAGAACCTGTCAACAAACCACCACTTCCCTCCCAACAGGACCAACAGGCACAGGGGTAGGTTTAATCCCGAACTGTTATAGGCTTATATGACATGATATGATATGGACTGGGAGTCTGGGACACTATGTGGACTAGTCACTTTTTCTAGGAAGGGTTGATAGCACTTTTCCAAAATTCTGAAGTCAAGATTATCTTAACTTTTCTTAGTGGACTTAGTAGGGTATCTATGATGTATAGATCTGCTACCAATTGAATAGCTCGTCCTCTTGTCTTTATAGAAATTTAGCCTGTTACATTCCTCACCACAGTTCAAAGAAAAACTCTCAGCTTACTGGGAGCTGTTAATAAGAGATATGGGCAAATGTAGACTCTAGTACTTCTTTGTGTTGATCTTGACCATGCTGATTTGTCCCTTTCCCAGTAATTCTCCATTCAAGAGACAAGCTGGTCGGCCCGTGAGGAGCGGGAAGAACCGCAGCACGTCACACAGTCCGTCTGGGAACAAGGGGCGCAGGAACGCCAGCGGCTCGGACAGCGACATGGAGAGGAAGAGACCAAAACGCAGGGGCAAACTCCTCAGGAGGAAAGCAAGAGGTAAGCATGGCTGCATTTCTATGTACAAAATCATTCTAGGGCTATCAATTAACATACTGTATAGGTAAAAGTACAGTAACAAGTACAATTCCAAAATGATAACTCTTCTCTACATTGATGTAAGAACACAGTCAAAAAGAGTGGATTTTATACTTTGTATGCTATATACATTTAATTTAGACAATCTGGTCATTTACAGAAAAATGCTGGCAATTATACTATGCACCCTATTACTATTTAATAATAAATACAATACAAATACAATACAACTTACATTACAAGGCCATTAAAAGTGTGGAAAGTTGAAATCACTATTAATAATTATATTATAATAATATTGAAAGCGTGAATCACCACTGCAAGTTCACTTCTTGTTCAGGTTTTACTGTTATTGAGTCTGGCCTGCTCTGGTATGGAAAGATCACCATCAAGAATGTTAGATTGCAGCTAGCCACACAAAACTCCTGACATAATTATAATGTACTAAATGTCACATACTGATCCCATTTACCTTCCCTCTGCTCCCTGTCTCCCCAAAAGAGAACTCCCTACCCTACCCACTTGTGCATGAAATTTATGTCAGTGGCAGAAGTGCATGTAAGTTCATTCTGTCCCCTTTTCCTTTTCTACCATCTTCATTCCATTAAAGGTGGCTAGTGACTTTCACACGCTGCATTATAATAGTCAGCATACTATTATACTGTTTGCCCAAGATTCAATATGCAGGCATCCATGTGTGACTGACTCACCACACCGTGTAAGCTTAGAATGAAATGAAGGACAATTTGAACACCTTTTTTAATAGAAATGTCACTATGACAGCACAAAAATACATAATACAGACCACGCAATGTCATTCTCTTTAATAACCATATGTACAGTATGTAATTCAGAAACTTTAGTGATGGCTTTTATTTTCATGGTGGAGAGGTCAACTCATTACTCAGCAAATTTGTGTTCTTAACAGTTGTACTACTGACAGTAACAGAAAGTAAACAGATGTTTCAACTATGAACTTCTAACACTGCAAAAACCTCCTTTCCTGTCCTACTTCGAAATGAAAACCACCACTAAGGTAAAATCATTTTACTAATAATTTCATTTGCTGAAATTATCTTAATTTAGTAGTGGCTAGAAAACCCAGGATTCCTCTAAGATCTTACAATGAGATAACATTACCTTATTGCCTTACTAATTCCCTACAAGATGATATGTTTTCATTCAAACTGGACAAATGTTGTGGCCGAATCTTTAGGGAAGAAAGTGTCAGATGCTCCTGTGCAGGCAGATCAGGAGTCCATACCAGTAGCGGGTACAGCCATCCAGCTAGATGGCAATAAGGGTAAACATCTAGTGTGTGCTGTGGGGTGGTCACTAAATCAGTTTACTGTATTAATTATTTCAGCTTGTGATTTTTTTTTTATACTTTGTTTTTTCTTCATAAATTTCTAACATATCCTTGTTTTCACAGTGATGTTACATGTATTTCTAGAATCCAGTGTGTATTATTGGTGGTACATGTAGTCAATGTTTTTTGCAGTGTTTAGCACTAACAATGCATGGCATGAGTGTAGAACTAGTGATAACAATGGTATTTGTCAATAAACTGCAGCAATAAGCTTGGTGTGGTGGGGGTTTTCCTCCATTCTCATCGATAGGCTCACATTCAATTTGATGTGTCATTGTGTCATTTTTGCCTTCAATAATTAGGATTACCTTTTCAAAATTTTAAAAATCAAGATGTAACTTTAACCACTGTGACAATAGCCTTAAGATGACTAGGCCTTGTATTGGTTCACAGTTTAAGAGCCAACAAGAACACTGAAATTAAGGTCTTTAAATGGTGAATGAGCTCATGTCTCCATCTTGTTGCAGGGAAGGGCATGTCTGATGCTCCAGTGCAGGTGGACCCAGCTTCCATTCCAGTAGAGGGCGCTGCTGTACACCTGCTGCCACAGCAGGACAAGCTGTCGCCACGGTAACATCTACAGCACTAAATTCCACATGAGAGATTTTATTTGAAAAGCTGTGCAAAATCTCTACAAATTCATAAATGCTGCAACCTGATTTGTTGAATACGGAATTATTATATAATATTGTAAAGTACTTGCATGTGTTTTGCTAGAAGCTTTGTGCATGTTTTGAACAAATTGCCGAGGTTTTGTCAAGTCTTTGAATGTTCTTTTCCACCCTTTCAGTTCAAGTTCTCTCAACCTCATTTCATAGCTGTAATGTCACACCTTTTTAACAGGTGCTAGTCTGCTTGCATGTACTTTTGGCACATTTCCCCTGCTTTATTTGCACCCTTGCATGCCCAACAGAGGTCCTGTTGATGGAGGTGACAGTCCACTTGGTGGTGGGAGGGCAGGCAGAGACCAGGTGGGAAATAACACAACTGTTGGAGAACTACTGAATCAGTCTTTAGTTAGAGGAAATGGAGCTATTAGGATCTGAAGTTTAACACTGGATGGAAACCTGTTGAGGGATTAGATAAAGTTATGGCCAAAAATTAAGAGAACATTTTAGGATACAGCATAACTATTATAAATGCCAATTACAACTCATTTGTGACTCTTTGATAACCAATGACATATCTAGTTGATGTGTAACACTAACTAGGATTTTATATGTATTATCAATAATTATATAGAAAAGTTAAATTTGATCACAAGTAAATTTTGTTTATTTCAGAATGTTGTATCATGCGAGGTCGTCGATCTCAACTCCATCAAAGGCCCATCCAGAGGGAAGGGGAATGCCTACTGGATCGACTTCTGATGTCCTGTCAGTTGTGGACACCCCCTCGCCTGTACCAGCCTTGGATATTGATGATGGTGCTTCAGTTTCTCCAGTGTTTCAAAAGAGACCAGCTCTTCAGGGGGAGGTTTCCAGTCTGATGAAACAGCATCCAGTGAATCCGCCCATTAGTCCTCATGGAGAGGAATGATCTTACATTTTACAGTAGTAAGGCCTTGGGGAAAAAATGTTGCGTTTCTGCTTTCTCAGTCGACCCTAGCAAAAACCAACCGACCCTAGCCTTTTGAGGAGGTTAACAGCTTGGAAGGCCATGAAAATTTTGATCTGACATCTAATTCTGTCAAAGCCTCTGAAAAGTTGCCGATATTTCATGCCATTTCAGAAGCAAATTTTTATACTTGAGAGAATTTGGTCCTACTTTTTTTCAGGACTGAAATCGGAAATACGGTCAATATTTTTTCCCTTGGGCTTAGTGTTATTAAAGATCACAAGCCTGAGAGTACTTTCTGATATAATACTAATAGCCTCTCCAAGGGAGGGTGTCAGCTGCAACTCACGTGTGATATTTCCACTACACCAACACCAAACATAGCTTCACAAACCTTGGGGATCCTAAAATGGCATAAAAGTACTGGTATCTTAGCTGTGAGATATCATCTTTTTATCCAGTTTTTAAAGCCATTTTGTTTGTAGCTACTTCATATTTTGTTTAAAGTTTCCTTAAAGCAAGCTTGATTACACCTCCTTGCTTAAAGCTTGTGATTTGACATTCCTAGAATGTTTTTACAATATTGTAAATGTGAGAAAAGTCTGCTGTAATGGCATTATGGCCCATTTAATAAGGTAAGGTGCTAGATAGACCAATTTATTCTCACTTGTTACTTATAGTAATATATAAATGTGATGTTCACAAGGAACCTAATATGTTGTTCCATATCATACAATGTACATGCATTGTGTATATTGAGCACAAAATCCATGAAGATGTAAAAAGTTTGTTGTGCCTTTGTCTAGTGTACATTGTTACCAATGGTACTGTTTTGTTTGATGTGAATGTAAGATGTTGCTCTGCTGTGGTATTTAAATACAGCTGCAAATGAGTGTGGTCCTTCACATGAACATGTGACTAAATGATGTAAAATATTCAATGACATTTTCAAGATGTCAAAGTTTTTTTTTCATTGATATTCAATATGACTTTTTTAAAATTGACAGTGATTAAAGTTTGCAAGTACCTTTTCCCTTTTATATTGTATGAAAATTTTCTATGTACTATCTGTTTTAAGGACTTTTTGTGTCCTCACACTTACAAACTCTGATCCTTCTCAAAATGAAATAACCAATTTCTGTAATGCACGTATTTGTCAACTACCCCGGTATCCCTTTCTGCTACATATCAATTTAGTCCAAATGAGTCAGATTTTTTTGTTTCAATCAAACAATTCAAGTTCAGGTGTCTTTCCATGTTCAGTGCATAATTTTTCTGTAAGTTACAGATGGCATAGTTTTCAGTAGCAAATATCTTGTTGTTTTTTTCTTTCTATAGGCAGCTATATTATGAAAGATGTATTTTTTCTAAAGGTAGAGACAATGTATACTTTGTTTTGGGTTGAATTTCACTTATTATACTTCTACTAGTATGTGTTCTAGTGAATATTTACACAATTTGGTATATTACTTACAATGTATTAGCCAGATGAATTTGAAAGGTATTCTTATCAAAACATGCTTGTATATGATGCTGTGAATCATATGGGGTTAGCTTATCAATGTCATACAGTGCCATTTTTTTGTGAATTCCTCTCCCTCAGACTTTCAGAGGTGATATTTCCATGTGGAGACTGCCTCAAAACTTTTATCAAGTGGACGTGGAATCTATGATGCTTTTTTCATTGATACAACAGATGACAAAGAACTTGGTGTAACAAAGATAGCTTGTACTTAAAGGAAATTATTTATGTTACATTAGGTATGTTTTATCTATGCATTTACTAGTACTGTTAAGTAGCTTCTGAGTTACCTTTATGAGATTGACAATGGCTGCTGGTAGATAGTTACAGCTGTATGGTTGATCCATATATCATGGCATTATAGTGTGAAGAGTCAGACTGAGACAATATTGTGTTACAACTTCTCATGGCAACTTTGTGGAAAAGACCAACTACTATGTAGCAGTTAATGATACCATCTTTTCAGTTGATGTTTTGAAGTGGACAGAAACTAAATATATATCTTCCAAGAAACATTGCCTTGTTCTTCAGTCTGTTTGTTTGACGTAACTGGTAAAGTGCCTCAAGGCGCAACACACAAGTTTTGTACAGTAAGTGCATAAAAGCAGACTTGAAGTTGTTAACTCCCACTCTATTCCAATATGGTTTAGGCTGCATCAAGCATTTTAAAACGCGACAAATGCCAGGTGAAAATGACCACTACATGTGGAACTTTATTTCCAAAAGGGGAATATTGTTCCAGTTTTGTCTGATTCCCAACAGTGTCAGCTGCAACTGGGTGCTCTTAGTCTTACCCACATTTGAACAAAAGAGCAGAGAGCACAGTTTTAACAGACATTTACATTGTATGATACTGTAGGGTATCTGTTCTACATATTTACGTGTAGATCTTGTATATACTTCTGCAACAAAATGCCTAGTACAAATATAATGTGCCCTAGAAAAAGTGCAAAATTCATACTTAAATGGTACGCCATCCATTCTTGAAACACTGGTATGGCTGAAGTGTAGGCCAACCGCTGACCAGTCATATTACACCACTCTGTGTCAGTAAAGGAATGAAACAAGCTTTAAGGAAAACCCTTCAACAAAAGTGTAACCTTTTAACAGTTAACAATTTTCAGTTTTTAAAGTATAGTTACATGTACATGTGGCAACAAACAGCAAAGTAATACTATCCTTTAGCACATAATCATGGGGTGGGTAAAGTGTTTGGAGTACAATATAGATAACAAACACTCTCAAATAATATTTGTTATTTAAACAATACATGGGGAAACCAACTAAAGTGGTGCAATGCTATCACTGTAATCTGCCAAAGCCAAACTTTTGTATGATGCAGGTGTAGTGAAGACTTGTTGCCTGAGAGGGGCAAGCCAGTTGTGCTTTAACATCTTTATCAAAATGGTGCTCCATTTTTGCTGAACTGATGTTACATTGTGTACATGTAGAAAAAGTTACAAGGTGTATGAACTGACGATGGGAAAGGCTCATTCCAATATCCCCAAAGAAGGACTCAGTTCAATGAAAAATGTAACTTTGCAGTGCTGCTATCACTCTACATGCATATACTATATGTAAGATACCATTCAATGTATAAACTGTTGCAGATGCAACTCAATGATTCAATGAATATACAATATCTGAACCGAGATGGCAGGGCTGTTACCTGGACTTCCATTTTTGCTGCTACTGCAATTCTAAGGATGATGACCTTTTACCCATTACAATGTATTTACAGTTAAGACACTAAGACATGAAAACACATATGACTATCATCTTACACTGTATGGAGACATCTGTTGCTAACTTACTGTAGTTACACCTTTCTATTATTATAGACTGGTCCATATTGATAAATGTGACCCACATTAGAGAGTGGGACTGTGTCAGTAGATGGTTCAGTGGGGCATCAGGCATCATCATCCTCATCATCCTCACTGTCTTCCTCATCTTCACTATCATCTATGTCCTCCTCCCCAGCGTTGCCCCTCCGTGGACCCCGTACCACATCATCTCCTCGGAACTCATAAACCAATGGATAGATGTGTTCTATAGCTCTTTGGATATTAGCCACGCAGGGTGCTGGTATATATAGGAAGAAGATGTACGTTTCAATCAAGTGATGGATACAATCTTCCTCAAGAAAATAATTTTCACAGTCAACTTGAGATGACTTAAGCAACTGGAGGTTGTAGGTTGTTGTATTTTGGATATCTTTCTACTAATACCTGTGCTGTACCAAGATTTTTTGCTGGTGTTGAAACTGCTAAAGACCGATTTTCATGGGAATGCCAAGAACAACTCACATCTTGTTTTTTCATTTCAAATGTATATGTGTCACCATTCAAGCCATGTATTGTAACAACGTTTACTCATTACCAACTAACCTGTGCATGTAATACTCCCTGTAGAGAAAATCTTCATCACAGCTTTGGGGTTCCTTAACTTGTAGGTCACTCCTGGGTGGAGCTCCGGCTCATAGCTGGTACAGGACAAATGAATTGAATATATGAACATCACAATGAATATTATGTATATGTTTTTTAATATGTAGTTTTCCAGCCAACGTTAGGCTAGAAGGAAAGTAATACTATACAAAATCGGGAGGCTATTCACTTCTAAGTGTATACATACCTTGCATTTTCCTTGTGCTGTTTGGAAAACAGGGTGATTTTGATGGTGAAGGGCATGGCACATATCCCCAACACATTCACCACCTTGAACTCACTGAAGTGCACCTTTCAAGTTTTTAGAGCAAAAAAAACTCATGTCAAGGCACTCATAATCAATTTTATTTCAGAAACCTGACACAGAGCTTATGATGCAATACATGTATGTTCAATATTACCTTGAAGTGCAAATTAATTCACTTGGCGTAATGTAAACGCTTGACAGTGGCATTCAGCTAGTGTGTTGGGCCATTTTAGTAAAATTTCTACTAAGAATGCTCATTGTGTCAACAAATCAGATCAAAGCTTTACCTGGAATCCCATGTTTTGTAAGGCTCTTGCACATCTTCTCGCACCTTTTTTAGCATCATCTTCACTGTAAAGAACAGAATGGAGGCAATAAAAATACTTTCTATCATTTTCTATTATTTATATTACTGGGTGGGTCAGCTGCAACTTAAGATCTTTGTTGCTAAGGTCTGAATTACACAAAGAGCTTATAATAATTACATTGGTGTGGCTGAATCACAAGGGTCTGGATTGGCTGCCATTCAGATGACCTAAATTATACAAAACCTATTATACTATATGGTGTGGCCATATAGGCCTGGAAAGTTTTGAAAAGTTGTGTACTTGTGTGCATGTTAAGACGTTCAATCTCTTTTTCATTTACACGTATCAATACATATTTACTAGTAACTTATTAGCCAGTACACATGTAAATACTTTGGTTGACTAACCTTCTGGCTCCTGTGCACACAATCTTGCCTGATGACCAGATGTTAGCTGTGCAGTATGGTCTTCTCAGCTTCATTGTGACTTTCTGGAAGAAGGTAACAATTTGAGATGAGGCTATTATAGTATTAATAGCCTTATTATCCATCATTTATTCTTCACAAACTGGCGATATGTCTTGTATAGCATCTTGTGCATATGTAGCAAACCTTACATTAGCCGCGGCGACTGTTGCAGGGCTTCTCTTACTTCAGTCTTTTACATTAGCCCTAACAACAGGGTTAGGGCTAATGTTAGGGCTAATGTAAAAGACTGAAGTAAGAGAAGCCCTGCAACAGTCGCCGCGGCTAACCTTACATCAACTTATACAGGATGGCCTAAAACTAGTAAAAGGACCCAGCTTTGTCAGTACTACTACTAGTTCACTTACAAAACATTTCAAGACATGTGATGTAGCTCATAGATCAGCTGCTAGATGTAACATTTTATTCTGAATTCATCTATTTTCACAGGAACCTGATTTCATCATGGTATATGGTAGAAAGGGGATGGAGGTTTTCGCAACATTATCATTAATTTAATCAATCACTTTAGTGAGTTATTGTTTTGGCTTGCCCAAGTACGCCTTAATTAATAGATGCTTATAATTTGCTTTCAAATGGGTGCTATATAATGATGTTATCAACCGACACGTCGATTGCATTTCATCTATACTACTTTTCCCAACAACCCCTACAAACATGTCAAAACTCCCTGCCAAATTATGATAACCAAGCCTGCACTCACCCCCAGCTCCCTTTTGTAGATAACGTTGGCCCCGTTTAAAGCTATCATCCTCAGGTTGAGGTGGCACCTCGCCCTGAAGCTGCACACCACGTTGGCGATGTCAATATCTAGGCTAGTTTGCTCCTGTGCAGCCGGCTCCCCCGGAACAGAGTTTTTGTTGCCAAGATCCTGACAAATATCTGGTGAGGCCGCAGCTACAGCCATCCTGGATCGGAGGTTCGAACGTCGGTTTGTTGTTGTCAAAACGGCGCGGCGCGGCGTGAGGCTATCCAAGGCGCGATAAAATATACCGCAAATGCTTCAAGTATTGCAGGTACAGATTAAATGAAGCTTATTTGTTTATATGTATTCAAATTAGCTGATGTGTCGGGAAATTCGGTGAAAAAAACATAGTGATTCGAGAAAAGAACGACCTAAAAACTGCCCTGTTCCGCCATGTTGGGTGACAACTTTGACCCGACTCACGAGCGCTGCCGAAGTAGGAACTTTATTCTTCGCCACCAATCAGAGAACGGGATTTACCTTCGGTAAAAATCGGTAAGGTACGATTATTTCCGAATAAGGATAAATAATGAAGGCACAGCTGATTGGTCGGCTGGTAAATGCTCTTCAAGCAGATGTTATGAGGTACATTGTTGTGTCAAGTGTTTTGCACGTTCTACGGATATTTTTGTTTCATTGCACAAAGTGTAACTGTTCATAATGATAGTTTCACAGCTTTAATAGAGAAAGTTAGCGTCGTTAGGGCCATGTTTTAATTTCGCCAGACTACAAACGATCACAAACGACGATAAATGTCACAATATCGCAATCGTAACATATATCTTTATTCCGTCTCAGTGTGACGTCCTTAATTCAATAAACATGAAAACAATGTTGAAAATCACAGGTACAGTCGCAGGCTACGCGGTCTTTGTTACTTCTAGCGTAAGTAGATACATCTACATCTATGAGTTTCTGAACAACACCCTCATGGGGCCTCGCGTTCAGTTGCACGGCATATGCGGCCTGGTGGGGTGCTGGTGCTCATAAAACAAAAAAATCAACATAACGAACAAGCAGAAAAATAAATTTGTGCAGTGACTATATACATGGCCGCAAAGTGATTCCTGATTATAGCTGGGAGCTGGGGAGGCCCATGTGCTGGGCCAGCCCCAACTTAAAGCTGTCAACTGATGGTGATGTGACTAAGTGAGATATTTGGTATGGCAACACTATTTCCGCAGGTTACGCGATCTTTGTTTCTTTTTAGCGTAAGTAGATTTGGTATGGCAACGGTATTGGCGACCCCCCTCCAGTTAACTTAAAACTTCATGCTTGACTACAACTTGCACCACAAAGAAATCAATAACCCAGACGCCCGTTGAATTTACTTAGCATTGCCAGTGACAGTCAAATGTACAGTAGCCTGGTCCTTCCCTATGTAGTTGACGGCCAGACAAGTATACGTCCCTGACGTTCCTGACGTCGCTGTCGCTATGACCAACGTCCCATCGTCAGCAACGGAGATACCTGGGACGTCAGAGTCCACGCCTAGCTTCATCCCTGTCGGAGTAGTCCAGACCACAGCTGCAGCAGGGCAACACGTGACCTGAGGGAACAGATGCAGTCACCCAAAGATGTTCGAATTCAGTCAGATCGGAAGTCTCATTGCCACCTCCGTCAAAACGAGAAAAAAAAGAGCAATATTTTCCCATTGATCAAACCGCTAATGCTATCGTTGGTCGAACTGTACGTGTTAATGCCACATAAGTTTGTGAATTTTACACAAGATAACGATGGTTAGAACATCATGAGTGATATGCCTAACTTACGCTGCATTTCAGCACGGCCCTCTGGCCTGTCTTGACGACAGTGGTGCTGCCCGTGGTGCTGATGTTAGGAGAAGTGAGATGGGGACAGTCACATGTCAGCTGGCCCACAGGCACGTCCCTCAGGGCTTTTCCGTGTAGACTTTGTGGCATGTCACAATGAAGTATCCTGATGTTCATCCCCTGTAACAAGACGGGACTTCACTTCACGACAACTACAAAATGATTTCTGACGAAAATAGCAAACACTGTATGCAAATAACAATGGGACCTCTGCAGCCACCAGAGGGCATGCAATACCTAGTGTACTTCCCAATGATCCTGCGTATATAAACGGAGAACGAGCCACATATATGGTGATATATATGAATTTAAAATGTGGGATAGATTTTTACCGAAGCAGACGAATGCAGCCATTTGGCGTAGTCACGCATCTGACAGTCGCACCTCCAGGGGTTGTCGTCCAGCAGGAGGGTTTCCTGGGGGTCGCCATAGAACGTCAGGGGGGCGAAGATGAGCTCAGGGAGGAAGTGCAGACTGTTGTTGTTCAGGGTGAGGGATTTGATGCCTTGAGAGCTATTGAACGCAGACTCATCTAAACAACGTCACAAACGCACAGGTGGTCAGGAACAGCAAAAGGTATGTCGCCAATAAATCTTGAAAGTGAAACTCACTTAGTGATTCGTGTGTGACTGCATCAAGTATATACTAGTAGTATTTGGTGTAATTTCATATCCAAGATGTATTGTTATCTTCTAGACTGCATATGCATGTTCTAAGCCGTAGATAAATCCGGACTACAAAACAATAGAGAATGATGAACATCTGCGAGCTAATTGGCTTTTTCTCCAGACGAGGCACACGCGCACATTTATATCTACTGCTGCTATGGGATTTAAAAGCAGAATAAGTGACATCTGTGGCGGTTTACATGTACTATGATAGAAATAATGCTTATTGACGGTAAAGGATCTTATGAACCTTTTGAGCCGGATTTGACGTATATTACCTATTATGCGGAGCTTGGTATTTTCAAGACCAACGTGGAAGAGTCCCTGTTTGAATGCGTCCGGCCCGATGTAGACTAGTGGATTTCCGGACAGTTCCAACATGAAGATGTCCAGGGTCATCAGAGCCTCCTCCGGTAATGACGTCAGTTTGTTGTCACTGTACAGGTACATTATTGGTGTTTGATGGTAATCTCAAGGCGTTAGAAACAATGTACAAATGGATTTTTGATGGTTGAGGGCTAGCTGTAGCTGTTGGTTTGAGTGTATGTTTGCTCATGCAAACAGAGTACAGTAGTTTGACAACACATTCTCTGGGGAAAGATTGACAGATATTCGAATGATAACAGTCAGACATAAGAAATGCAGCCGGAAAGCCACGTCGAGAGTTCTATGCGTTTCTCTTTTCCTTCCGCGAGAGAAAGTAGTCCGTTCCACGGCTCCGGGCGTCGACTCGCCTCACAAGAAAGCTTACCGCTAGATTATACAATCAAATAACTTCCTTATTGTAACTTATTCATAATATTTAGACTTCTTTATTTGCTCCCCATGAATTTTTGAGCCGAGAATGTACCTTTCTCCTTTTGATATCATGACCTAAAATTAGGCAATTTTAGTGCAATTTCCCCGTGTATTTTCACCTTGATGGAGATTTCGCACCAACAGGAAATTTGTTGGGTGAAAAAAGAGCAAACCTTAATCTTTCTGATGGTATTTGACTTATAGACGATATCGAGGGCGAAACGGGTTTCCCCCCAAATTCGGTGAGGCCATGTCACGGGAGCAGGCAGGCAATTTTAGTGCAATTTCCCTGAGTATTTTCGCCTTGATGCAGATTTCGCACCAACAGGAAATTTGTTGGAATAGAAAGAGCAAATCGTAAACTTTCTGATGGTGCTTGACTTATATTTGATTTCGAGGCCGAAACGGGTTTCCCCCGAAATTCTGTGAGGCCATGTTACGGGAAAAAGCAGAATTTTTCCCCAAATAGAACGCGCATCCCTGGCGCCGCGGCCGGCGAGGTACGTGTGTTCTACGGAGCGCGCTCCTCTCCTACATGCCCTATACATGACCATACATCGCTAGATTTAAATTATTGTCGACCTACGTCTAAACAACTTTTAGTTAGACTACACTGGGTGTTAATTCATCTTATATCTAAACAGGTTCTTTTATTTTGCACGCAGAATATATGTTTGTGGTCCCTTGATAGATACGGTCGATCTGAAAACTCGAAACCAGCGTCTGCCTAAACGCGAGGAAACATTATACTCTCGTAGCTTCCTGACCTTTGAAAAACGCACATCTAATTAGAGCAAGCGGACCATTAGAACTAGAATACCTCAAACATTGATTCATGATTGGGGAGAATTCAAAGAATAATTATTGTATCCATTTTTCTCGATTTGAATGGCGCTGGGTTTAAATAGTTACTTAAGAAAAGTTACATTTATCGACCTGCTGGCTTAGTAAAAAAGTAGCCTATGGACACAACCCAACGCTTCTGGTACCTAGTCTGGACAGTGCAACATGTACATTGCATGCTCTGATTATGGGTAAGTTTATCCTGGATCTGTTATCCAATCTACAGGTATAGTCCATGTGTACTGCTTACTATAATAAGATAACAGGTCCTCATGTCCCTAGTTTTACACAAAAGCATTTGCATATTTCTAAAAGTGCTGGGTGTTATCAAATCCCTAAACATAACTCTCTCACATACATCCTAACAATTATACACAAAATTACCCAAGAGCCATTAACGTTGCTTCAACCTTTATCTCATTACCAAACAAAAAAACAAAGTAGCACATTTTGATGATGATGATGATGATGATGATGTACATTTTGTTGTGGACTGGGATATCAAATACTTGGGATCATTACATGTATACATAGTACATCTTTTACAGTACATATATTACTTAACACATGCTCAAAAGTTACAGTAGACATTGAATGCTGAATCGACTATTAAATATGATCCCAAATTGTATTAAGATTACAATAAACAGAATAGATGGAAATTAAGATCTCAATACATCTTATATATATATCCATAATCTCAAGCTAAATAAACAATATAACATCCTGGTGTCCTGCTGGTGACAATCCCACTGGGTGTGGCTTTTACCTGCAAGGTGGAAGAATTTAAAAAATGTAAATAAGATACGACACCAAACCCAATTCACTCATTAATCAACATCAGAGAATTCTGAATCTGAAATGTTATCCAATGCAGACAAGCTGCCTATGTAAATGTCATCTATAAAATTAACATCCTGATCCTCACTATCAAAAAAGTCTTTTCTGAATCAGAATCATCATGCATTTCCTGATTTTGATCAATATGGAGTAAATTAGAACATTCAGAATGAAATGTTGAAGTTAGCATAGAAGAAATAAGTAATTTAGATTTGGACTGTACAGCTAGCGTGTATAGAAGTTCCATTCCACCCACAGGGACTTCCAGTAACATTAAATCAGTACATTGGCTATAGGAATAAATCAACTCAGATTTTATCATATGAAAAGGATAACTACACTGGCCCTCAGAGACAATAAAGAAAATAAGGGAAGTAGTGAAAAATCACCTCAGAAACTTAGAGCTACTATGGCTTGTCTCATCCTTAAGAAAGGCAAAGTAATGTCCAAAGATTCAAAATCAGAAAAAGAAATTTCAGACTTTTGCATAGTTAACACAACAATAAAATTCCAAACAGGATTTGTTTCTTTAGAAATGTGAAACAGGTTTATGCAGGGAGGTTGCAGTTTTATGCAGGTTAACAATTTCATGCAAGAAGGTTGGAATTTATCAATAAATTTGGAGGATTCTTAATGAATCACAGTATTCATATATAAAAAAGAAAGACCAGGGGCCAGAATTAATACTATCCTTTAAATCTTTAGCATAGAAGCAAAATAAGACTGAATAGACTTGATCTCTTCATTCTCTTGATCATATTTTTGAGAGCTACCTCTTGCCAATGAAGTGATTCTATAATATCACAATATCTATAGTATAACATTAAACTATGTTTGGTGTTAGAACTTTTGTGAACCAAACTAAAGTTTACTAAATCATTTAAGAGTCCAACCACAGTAGAATGTGTCTTAATCTGTACATCACTTTGACTTTTACATTCAAATCCTTTCTTGAACTTAACATTTCTACATAAAGATCATCCACAAGAAGTATTGGTTGGTTTACTTTCAAAAAACAGTTCTCCAACCTTACAGGAAACCTGGTGCAATGCTACTTGAGGTAAATTTTGGGGGCTAGGGTCTTCCTGAAATTTTCTTAACATATAACGTTAGTGCACACTTTTGTTTTCACTTTTATTCTCAGTTATATATTTGTATTGGTTGTACTTGTTTAGTGTTAAGTGTCAAGTGGGGCTGTTAATGTTGTAACAGTTGGGGGTTTATAGGCGCTACCAACTGACCCAGCCAATGGGTCTAGACCTTTTAGCTCACTCAGTTAGAGCATCTGACTGTGGCCCGGGAGCCGTGAGTTCGAATCCGGCCCGGGACCAAGGGGTTTTTATCTGTTTCTACTGTCTCCTCCTGGTTTCTTACAATGTGACTGTAACTTGAGCACAGTCCCACTTTGTCCTTGTCCTTCTTTAAACTTTAGTAATAATTTTCTAAAAATGCCAGGAGAGAGGGTGACATGGTTTGCCAAAGGTGGTTTAAACATTTTAAACCTCCTTGGTTTGCCAGATACTTACCAATCTAGTCTGTGAAGCCTATGATAATCTGAAACAGAAATAAAAGAATCCCCTTCACACATTTTTCTCAATCCAATACTAAAATGAACGTTAGCTTTATTTCAATAATCAATGATATACATGCTCAACCATTTATTATAATTTCTACAAATGTCACAAGCTGCCTAAACATGTATATTGTGCACTGTTCTTATCATCAATCACTAGATATGGTAGTACATGCATGCTTGTCTTGCTGTAACTTTAGACACTATGACAAGTCATTGTAACAATTTGCAGCAGTCATGCAGCTTTGTTGTTCTTGTATGACAACCAGACATCACGTGATAAAGTTGGCGGGAATTTTTTGCACAAACACACACAGAAGGGATGATTTCTTTTACGAAGTTCGTGATCCATCAGACTCAACTACAACGTTAACTTCAAAATTTACAATTGAATCTGTCCTTGTAAAGATCTAACGACTAAGAGTCTGGGTCTAAACTTAGACTAGATTAGTTCGTCGGAAATGATTTTACCACGAACATGATGTTTACAAGAAATGAAGCACATATACGCAAATTATTCAACAATGTCCGAAATTAAATCAAACGACAAACTATGAGTTTTAGCCATAAAATTAGCCAAAAAAGGGACCCTAGTTGGCATTAAATTGCAAACCTATCCAGACTTCGCACCAACAGGATATTCATAATGGGAGATAGCCAAAGGTTCAACACATTTTATCCACATATCGTCATATGCAAAATCGAGGGCGAAACGGGTTTCCCCCCAAATTCAAATAAGACGAAAATTCAGATCAGTCCAGGGCGGCCATTTTGTTCATTTCACTGTGCACCAAGTTTAATCACAAAACTACACTAAAACTGATAGAATACCCCTCAAATATGGTTAGTACAGAGAGCACATGATATACACATCTGATACGTACCGCCATATTGATGCAGAGGCCGAAACTGGTGATGTAATCGGCTGTCAACAACTCGGATGAAATTTCAGCCCGCCGCCCGCGAAAACGTCGTCCTTAGCAACGGCGTTGCTATGGACGGCGGAGTGATACGCTCTGCAAAGAAAACTCGTTCGAAAAGCGTTCGATTCAGTACGTGGCTTTCCGGCTGAATGGGGTGAATTTGATCACAAAAGCCCAAAATACTGGAAGTCTGACATTTGTTGTTTCTTCTTCAATCGTCTTAAAAGCACTCTTAAGATATCGTAGATTTCATGATGAAAGGAAATGTATCTCAATGGCAGCGTTTCCACACAACTGAATTAACGTAATAAATTTAATTAAATTGAGCACCTACCTCAGGTCTAGTGTGAAGAAGTACGTGTGATGACCAAAGTCCTTCAGACCTACAGCCGAGATGTTGTTTCCAGAGAGATTCAGGACGGTAATATTCCCGACCTTCTCTATGGCGTCTGTCGGGACCTGACGAAGCCTGTTGTTTGTGAGGCTCAGTGTCCCCAACGTTACACGCCCCAGTCCAGCAAACACACCAGGCTTTATAAAACCTGTCACCCAGAAACACTTGATACCCGATAGGTCAAGTTCCTGAATATTCGATAGGTTAGAAAACTGACCTTCTCTGAGAGATTCTATCGGGTTGTAGGACAGATCAAGTTCAACGATACCGGAAGGAAGGGGTGGTATCTCCATAAGTAAATTTTGTTGAATGTTCAACTTTTTCAGTACGAGTGGAAGCTGGGATTTCATTTGATTAAGGTTATTGTTGCTCAGTATAATTTCCTGCAAATCTGGAAGGTGTTTAAATGCATTCTGTGAGACTGCACTAATTTGGTTGCCGGAGAGGTCTAACATCCGCAATTTCTCACACCCGGTAAAATCGGTGTCTGATATTTTTGTTAGTTTGTTGTTAACCGCGGAAAACACATCAAGATTCTCAAGACTGTGTAGCACACTACCTATTACTAAAATGTTGTTGTTGTCCAAACTGAGCAGTGTCAGGTTTTTGAATGCCCTAAGCGCTGTGGGTTCGATGACGGAGATGTTGTTGTTCCCAAGCATGAGATGAATCGCACCTTGGGGACCCTGGAAGACGCCATCTTTGATGTCTCCAATGTTATTATCACTGAGTTCGAAAACGTCAGAATTTGGCATATTAGCGAAGGCCCCAGGTTGGATGGACATGATCCTATTCTTCTGCAGGTCAACTACCTGAGGAGAGTTGTTAACAGTCAACGTCTTATTGCTATGAAATATTTTTGCCAACACTACTATGTACACTT